GCATGGTTTCACCATTATAAAGTATAACACAATTTCCTGTGTTCTGTAACAAAATGAGATCCTTTGGTAATAAATTCTAAACGAAATCTGGTGGAGAACAAATTGCTCAATTTTAAAATCTAGATTTCTCTAATGATGGCTTCTACTTAACGCTTTTCATGACGTTACAAGATCAAATTACTAAAACTTGCAATAAAAAGTAGAATCTAGGAATTTTTGCCAAGACAAACTGAAAAAATTCTAGTGGTATCTTTGTAAAAGAGTAGCAAATACTTAAGGTATGTAATATAGTCTCCTTCCATATGTAAGAGGAAATCTGTGCTTAACTGGCTAAGTATGTGGAAAAGAAGTGTAAAACTTTCTAGATCAAGCCAGGTGGTTTTCTGCTTAGAAGAACCTGTTATTGCAGAAGGCTATTACTTAAAACACGTTATTTGTGAAAAATCCACTTGTTGAAATGTCACTTTAGTCAAAATATTAGCAGATCAGAATCTGGAGTCTGGGTGTGTGGATGGGATGGCTGTGCTGGGGCAGACATTCATCATGATTTACAATGTAAACTGCTTTGCATTTACCATGTTTTGAGGTTTCTGTATTTGATCAAAGGTATCCAGAATCATCACTTTGACAAATAAGCATTTGACAATATAAGTATACACCAAAGGATACAGTACGACTTCAGAATCAGCCCAGCAAGTTTACATGTATTTCAAAATAGGAAAAATTTGTTAGTTTATAATATAATGGAGTAATATACTTTTTTCATGTTTTCTTGAAGCAAGATTCATCACGATTGCTATTTTTTGTAAACATGACTTATATCTTTGATTTCCCTAGTTAAGAGTTATTTTTTGTCAACATATGCCATATTTCCAATAGTTGTCTGTTGATTACAGTGTACTTGAATTTCACAGTCTGTTTCTAATTGTCCTCAGAATCATTGAACTACTACAAAGTAAATACCTTATCTTCTCACCACCCCTTCACCAAAGACCTATGTTATGACCACACTGAAGACATAAATTTTGCCATTAGTAGCTCTAACAAATTATTAGGAAAGTTTATGCTTAAAATAATTTATATTGTCAGTGTCAGTGCAAAGGCAGTTTCTTAAAGACAGTTAATGAAGGTGATCAACCACTTAAGGAGGAGAGGTTCCAGAACTGCAGTATCACCCTGGAAGTGGAGCCCAGTGACACCATCGAAAATGTGAAGGCCAAGATCCAGCATAAGGAAGGAATCCCCCCCGACCAGCAGAGGCTCATCTTTGCAGGCAAGCAGCTGGAAGACGGCCGCACTCTTTCTGATTACAACATCCGGAAAGAGTCGACCCTGCACCTGGTCCTGCGTCTGAGGGGTGGCTGTTAATTCTTCAGTCTTGCATTCGCAGCGCCCAGTGATGGCAATACGCTGCACTATAGCCATTTGCCCCAACTTAAGTTTAGAAGTTACAAGTTTCAGTAATAGCTGAACCTGTTCAAAATGTTAATAAAGGTTTTGTTGCATGGTAGCATCAAAAAAAAATTTTTTTTAATTTTTTTTTAAATATTTTTTAAAAGGATACAAATATATACGTCTAGAAGGATACACAGTATGTTAACACTGGTCACATCTGGGGAATAGGCTGGGAAAAAGAGAGGTGGGACTTTTTCTTTTATACCCTTCTAAACCATTTAAGTTATTGACCATGTAATTAGTTACACTGGCATATAACTACTTTGATGAATGAATGAATCGTTGCTCTACTGTTTAGGTTTTTTTCTTCCTTTTCATTGTTTTTAACACCAACATAGACTAAGATGAAGTACAGTTAACTTGGGTTGGCCTAAGTAGCTGTGTATCAATCCTCTCATATTCCTGCTTGGTCATTCAAAGATTATATCGTTATCTTAAAGATTTGGCAGCTTGTACAGATATGCTTCCTTCTCACCACCAAAAAAACTTAACTATAAGTAACATCAACCTTTCCCTCATATTTTATTTGTTAAACTTACATGAGAGAGGCAAGTCATACTTGGAGGCAACCAATTAAATCTGCTTTTATTTACAGTTTATCACTAACTGAACATACAGCTAAAAATACAAAGTTACTACTCTTGGAAGGGGAAACTGAAAATGCTGATGGGTGAGTGGCAGGACAGTCCTTATATTCTAATGTCCTACTCTCATTGATTGTATCAGCCCTCACAAAAGACCATCTTGCCTAAAGTTACCATTCCTTATTCCAGCATCCCTTTATCATTTTATCCTGCCCTTTCTACAGCAAAAAGAGGTACAAAAAAAACCCTCTCTTTACCTGTAGTCTCTTAATTCTAGCAAATTAATATCCATTTCTATATATTTAAAGATTCCGCTGTTTTCTTCTTTTAGCTAACCCTTTCCAAATTTATATTTATAGTTTCTCTCTACTTTTATAAATTATACTAGGCTACAAAATAGTTTCAAAAACACTTCACCTAGAAATCCTCATCTAGAAAAAGGCAAATTGATCTTTGCCTGTCCACATTTGGCATGGCCTCATCCCCTAGCCACTAAGCTCCCTGTTTGTAATCTCAGGGCTCACCCAAAGACCACACTCTGACGAATCCTGAATCAGTATCGCCTATGTCCTGACCGCCAGATCTATACATCCAACTAGCCATCTACCAACATTTCTGGGAGACCCCAGAGCCACCTCAAATGGGATTCACAATCTATACCCCAACTCCCCCCATCTGCTCTCTCTCCTGCATTCTTTGCCTGGGTTAAGAGCATCACATGCAAATGGCAAAGCCAGACTGTCCTTCAACAGCCTCAAGTGGCCAGTCACCAAGGCCTGGAGACTCTACATTCTGCATGTGTCAGAACTTGTTCCATCCTCTCAGTTTCTGAAAGTGGTCATCATTTCTCATCCATTTGAAGCCATCAGATTCCCAATGGACAGCTCACTCCTAGTCTCTTTGGCCTTCATCTCGCCCCGCCTGTTCTCCTTATTGCTAGCAGAAGAACCTTTCCAAAACATAGAACTGGTCATGTCACTACTCTTAAAGTCTTTTGATAACTAACTCCCAGCACCTACAGAATAAAGTTCAAATCCCAGGTGTGTGGCATGCAATACCCTTCACAATGTGGACCTCCAGCCTCAGCTCAGGCCACGACAACAACTGAACCACAACCTGCATTTAGCTGAGTGCAGCAGAGGCTGCTGGTTGCCCACCTGGACATCATTCTCCTTTTCCTCCTTAGTAACAGAAAAATGAGTTTATTTATGAAGCCATGAATCTCACTGCAACACTACATTTCTCACCTTACTTAATATAAAGAAAATGTGTCAACTAACAGGCAAAACATCCAGCTAGCATCAAAACGGCAGGATCAAATTCACACATAACAATATTAACCTTAAATGTAAATGGCCTAAATGCCCCAATCAAAAGACACAGAATGGCAAATTGGATAAAAAGTCAAGACCCATCGGTGTGCTGTATTCAGGAAACCCATCTCATGGGCAAGGACACACAGAGACTCAAAATAAAGGGTTGGAGGAAGATTTACCAAGCAAATGGAGGGCAAAGAAAAGCAGCAGTTGTAATCCCAGTCTCTGATAAAATGGACTTTAAACCAACAATGATCAAAAGAGACAAAGAAGGGCATTACATAATGGTAAAAGGATCAATGCATCAAGAAGAGCTAAAGATCCTAAATATACACACACCCAAATACAGGAGCACCTAGATACATAAAGCAGTTCTTGATGACCTACAAAGAGACTGAGACTCCTACACAATTATAGTGGGAGACTTTAATACTCCACTGTCAGTATTAGACAGATCAATGAGAAAGAAGATTAACAAAGATATCCAGGACTTGAACTCAGATCAGGACCAAGCAGACCTAACAGACATCTACAGAAATCTCCATCCCAAATCCACAGAATATACATTCTTCTCGGTACCACATCACAACTACTCTAAAACTGACCACATAATTGGAAATAAATCGCTCCTCAGCAAATGCAAAAGAACGGAAATCGTAACAAACACTCTCAGACTTCAGGGAAATCAAATTAGAACTCAGAATCAAGAAACTAACTCAGAATCACACAACTTCATGGAGAATGACCCACTGGCTCCTGAATGTTGACTGGATAGACAATGAAATGAAGGCAGAAATAAAGATGTTCTTCAAAACCAACGAGAACAAAGATACAACATACCAGAATCTCTGGGACACATTTATAACCGTGTCCAGAGGGAAATTTATAGCAATAAATTGCCCACCAGAGAAGCAAGAAAAGATCTAAAATTGACACCCTATCATCAAAATTGAAAGAGCTAGAGAAGCAAAATCAAAAAAACTCAAAAGCTAACAGAAGACAAGAAATAACTAAGATCAGAGCAGAACTGAAAGAGATAGAGACACAAAAAACCCTTCAAAAAAAAAAATCAATAAATCCAAGAGCTGGTTTTTTGAAAAGATCAACAAAATAGACCACTAGCCAGATTAATAAAAAAGAAAAGAGCAAAGAATCAAATAGATGCAATAAAAAATGAAAAAGGGGATATCAGCGATTCCACAGAAATACAAACTACCATCAGAGATTACTACAAACAACTTTATGCACATAAACCAGTAAACTTGGAAGAAATGGATAAATTCCTGGACACTTGCACCCTCCCAAGCCTAAACCAGGAAGAAGTTGAACCCTTGAACAGACGATTAACAAGGGCTGAAGTTGAGGCAGCAATTAATAGCCTACCAACCAAAAAAAAGCCCAGGGCCACACAGGTTCACAGCTGAATTCTACCAGATGCACAAAGAGGAGCTGGTACCATTCCTTCTGAAACTATTTCAAAAGGCATCACATCCTAAACAAGGTAATACAGGTGTCTTGGAACATAGGCAAAATACAAATTAATCCCCACCGGAAAAGTGGCTTCCAGTGACCCACACATGACAGGTGGATCTGAGCTCTAATGACCAGTCAGAATCTAACAATATCCTAACACCATAATACTCACCTGTGGACAAGGCCTCCTCCCGAATGTCACCCTCACCAGGCTGAGGAATATTCCAGGACGTTTTGGGAAGTGAAGAAATCTCCTCTGGTGATTCTATTCTCACCATATCCATGTGACTGCTCTGGAACTGGTACCGAGGGATGAAGCAGATTTTGCCTCGCCGGAAAATGTCCTTGATGATCTCTTCCGTCTCAATTTCATCTTGCATGCTCAGAAAGATGGAAATTCTTTTGGCCTTTTGATACTGACTGTGGGCAATCACCTAAATGGGAAATTATGGCAATTATATTTTCCAAGACTAAATTTAGCAACTCCCCTTAACGGTTCCTCCTTTCTCTCTCAGCCTTCTACAATTTCTTTAAATGTTATAAAGAAAAAAAAAAAGGGCAGAGTGATACAGCGGGTCAGACAGTGATGCATCCTAAGGGCTTTTAGTTTGGGACCCAGCACTTACCTGCTCCTTTTATCGCTTCCTGGCACACCCACTCGGGTAGGTGTGAAAACTCATTAAAAGGTCACTATGGAGACAAGCTGTCTTTCTAGAGAATTCCAGGCTTGATTCCCGCCTACCCATTTCAGTAGTCTTTGGTCATTTCACATGCTTCCCCGACAGTCTGCTTTCTCTCTGAACCTTGGCTCCCATAAGCTCCTCCACTCCTTGGATTGTCAGGCTTCTCTCTCCTCCCAAATCCAACCCATTTAAAGCCCAGTGCAAGCCCTAACTTTTCCTAACTTCTGCAGAACACTTCACTACCTTTAGAGTTAATATATAACTTAATAATGATGTACTGTCATGAATGGATCATGAATTGTTTCATGTGCCCTAAATGTGGTATCCCTAACCGGTCCATGCACTGAGCTCTCTGAGGCAGAGACCATGTCTTACAATTCTCTCTTAGCTCTACCAACCCCATCCCATTTCCTAAAATTCATCTGTTCAATTGAATATTAAAATATTCACAATTATGGGGTGGGGGCAGATCCTGATGAAAGAAACCATATTCAGCTGAATCATTTATCAGGCAGGAGAAGGGAACTGAGCTTTGCTCATCATAGAAATGTCAACACTCTCAGGAACTTATCCAGACTCAGAAGTTAGCCCTTAGCCCTCTTTTTCTCTTTTTTCATTTTTTTTTTTTCTTTTTTCTTTTTAAAGACAGGGTATCCCTCTTTTGCTCAAGCTGGAGTGTAGTACTGCAATCTGCAACTTCTATCTCTTGGGCTCAGGTGATCCTCTCAACTCAGCCTCCGGAGTAGCTGGGACCACAGGCACATGCCACCATGTCCGGCTGATTTTTTGTATTTTTTGTGGAGACAGCGTTTCACCATGTAACTCAGGCTGGTCTCGAACTCCTGAGCTCAAGTGATCCACCCACCTGGGCCTCCCAAAGTGCTGGGATTACAGGTGTGAGCCACTATGACTGGCCAGCTCTTTTTTTCCTTTCCTTTTCTGTTCTTCCCTGTTCTCCAAACTAAAAAGAAAAGAATACTTTTATTCTTTATAGGACTTCTTAGAACTTTTGTTATTATTATATATTTTTAAGCCATAAAAGTAGCTTAAAAGTATGAATGGCAGAAAGATACAGGAACAGAAAGTCAAGTTATTACTAATAAAAAAGGAAACAGAAATTAAGTAGATAGAGCACATCAAACTAAACCAAGGAAGAAAGTTAACTCTCACACTCTGAAAAGTTACAAAATTGTTTTGAGGCCTGAAACAGGCAAAGAAAGGAAATGTGAAACCCAGACTTGGGCAGGCCTGGGGCTATTGGCATCCAAGTACTATATGAGAAAGTTAGGTATCCTTTTTGCTCTCTTGACAGCAGAATACAGAAGATCAAGATTTAATAAGCAGTAATAAATATCAGTTAACACTCAGTGTGAGACTGTGCACACACTTATCTTCCTCCCTCAAATCCCATTTATAGGATGGTAAAGAAACACAAAAAAGAAAAACCATTACAGCACTGAGAATAAGAGAACAAAGACCTGACTACTTTCTTTAAGACAATGAGTGGATGGGACAGTATTTTACTGACAAAACAGCAGCAGATCACAACACTCAGAGAAGAAGGATGCAGGATAGGCAGAATCCATTCCTCCCTTGGAATCCCAAAGCAAACCATAAAAGGCAGAGGAAATCCCCATTAGCTATGATACTTTCATTCACAAATATGTACAGATAATAAAAGATCATCAAACATTCTGAAAAGCAAAAATACAAAATGGATGGGAAAAAAAAACAAGAAGGGAAGAAAAAAATGGACAAAGATGACAGATAATTTTTTGAAATTCTAATTCGTTTTCTCAGACAAACTCAAGAAGAAAATTGCATTTCTTTATTTTATTTTATTTTTTTTTTGGTATGAAGTTTCACTCTTATTGCCCAGGATGATCTCAGCTCACTGCAACCTCTGCCTCCCAGGTTCAAGCGATTCTCCTGCCTCAGCCTCCCAAATAGCTGGGATTACAGGCATGCACCACAACACCTGGCTAATTTTGTATTTTTAGTAAAGACAGGGTTTCTCCATGTTGGTCAGGCTGGTCTCGAACTCCTGACCTCAGATGGTCTGCCCTCCTCAGCCTCCCAAAGTGCTGGGATTACAGGCATTTCTAAAACAATAGACTGCTCTGGGGAGGAAGCAATCAGAGAATTATGAAATAATCACTGGGAACTACAATTGTGATTAGCAAAATTAAAACAACTTAGGAGAAAGCCTTGGAGTAGGGGGGGAAAGGCAAAAATAGGAAAAATGAAAAAAATGTTAAGAACCAGAGAAGATCAATCTATGACTTTTATTATCTGATCAACGAGAGTTCCAGAAAGACACAAAGGAAAAAAAATAATCAAAGGAGATACACTTGGCTCATGCCTGTAATCCCAGCACTTTGGAAGGCCAAGGCGGGTAGATCACGTGAGGTCAGGAGTTTGAGACCAGCCTGACCAACGTGGTGAAACCCCATCTCTAGTAAAAATACAAAATTAGCCGGGCACAGTGGTACATGCTTATAGTCCCAGCTACTTGAGAGGCTGAGGCAGAAGAACCACCTGAACCCAGGAGGCAGATGTTGAGCCGAGATCACGCCACTGCACTCCAACCTGGGCAACAAGAGTGAAACTCCAACTCAAAAAAAAAAAAAAAAAGAAGAAGATAAATACTAGTCTCCATACTGAATAGGGGCCAAGGGGCCATGGGGGCTGAGCAGAACAAGGAAAATAATTTTAAATTTGAAATTCAAACTATCAATCAAGTATAAGGGTAAAACATTTCCTAATGTATATTTAAAAGTTTACCACCCCCATAGATACGTCCTCAAAAAAAATTATCTGAAGATACGCTCTAAAAAGATGAAGGGAAAAGAATGCAGGAAAGACAAAGATGCTAGACTCAAAAAGCAGCCCTAACTCAGAAGTGGAGTGAGGAGGAACCCCAGGGCAATGGCTGTGCAATGGGCCAGGGGCAATCAGACCACAAAAAGCAAGAGGCTGGAGTGTTTTCAAAAAGAAAGTGGATTTATTTTAACAGACAATGAAAAAGAATTGATTGATAAGATAAACGCATATTCTTGACTTGTCAAAAACGGAAAAATAAAGGCAATCAGAAGCTCCTGGAGAAATACAGAACTAAATTAGACATATACTCCAAATGAGAACAAAGCAAAATAGAGAATGGTTTTGAGCAATTATGGGGGGGAAAAGAAAAGCTTTGGTACTGACACTTGGAACATTACCTTCCGAGCTACACATATCTAGTGACATAAAGTTATAAGTCTTTTCTTACATATTTAATCATACAACTTGGTTCTATGATGAATACCATCTGTAGAACAAAAATACAAAGAATAATTCAGTGCTCTACATATTTTTGTAAATACTGTTTACTGTAAATACTATTTCCTGAAATCTCAAGTTTGGAAATCGGTCACAAATACTGCTCAGTAGACTCATAGTTACAGAACAAAGTTTAAATATTACAAAACTTGACAACATAACAATATAGATGTCAGAAACTGACAAAGGGAGTAGAAAACATAGTGAGTAAAAGGGCACTAATTTTCTCATCTTAGTTATGGACTCAAGATATGACATAAAGCTGAATTTCTTTACCATATAAATTACTTCTCTGACAAATTTCTGAATTATAAAAAGGTGCAGTGCCAATAAGAATAAATATGCTTTTCTAAATGAAAAACATAATTTAACACCTTTATTGAGCATTCACTATGGCAAAACACTACACAGTACACTGATGTTTCCAGCAATGATCCATTGGTTAGTCATGAAATCAACAGTGGGCTACAATCAGAATTTTTAAATGAAATAGAATAGAAAATATTAAAGTTCAAGTTGGGCGCAGTAGCTCACACCTGTAATCCCAGCACTTTGGGAGGCCAAGGCAGGCAGATCACTAAATCAGGAGTTTGAGACCAGACTGGCCAACATATTGAAACTCCATCTCCACTAAAGAGACCAAAAAAAAAAATTAGCTGGGCGTGGTGGGGGACGTCTGTAATCCCAGCTACTGGGGAGGCTGAAGCAGGAGAATCGCTTGAACCCGGGGGGGGGGGGGGGGGCGGGGGCGGGGGCGGGAGAGGAGGCTGCAGTAAGCCAAGATCATGCCACTGCACTCCAGCCTGGGCAACAACAGCAAGACTCCATCTCAAAAAAAAAAAAAAAAAGAAAGCTTTCCAATTCCCCCTCCCCAAGGCTATGTTTCCACAATATTACAACATTGGTGTTTACCTTTATCATATATCTGGCTTCAGTGCAATTCTTTCTTCATGTCTGTTTCCTCTCCTAGGCTCTCTGCTCCTTTAGAGCAAGAATCCTATCTTTTTCATCTCCGCAACCCAGTGCATGGCCAAGTGTGCACTACATAGGTGTTCAACATATGTGAATGAATTAGCTAAATTTTAAACAACTACATAGTAAGGACAAGAGTCTATATCTTTTATGTCTACTAAAACACCTAGCAGTGCTTCCTCATAATAGTTAAAATATTTCTGTTTGAAAGACCAAATTAGATTCCCTCATGCACACCTACATACATGAAGAGATGGGTGAAATGAGCATATTTGCTTTACTGCTTTAACCCATGGGTACCTTGAATTTAAGTAAATAATGGATAATGGAACAGTGAAGGGTAATTAAGAACGCCTGATGGTAAAACTAATTCCAAGGAACATCAAGTCTCCAAATATCCACCAGTATCTCTGAGACATGATGTTGGGAAGACAGATCATCAATCTGACTTACAAAAGAATTACAAATATGTACTTATTCAGGGGACATTAAGTTTTTCTTCCCCTTGTGTCTAACAAAAATGAGTCCCCCAAAACTCTTTAGTTTAGAACATGCCTTCACGACAGGATATGACTGCCGTTTTACTGACAAAAAAAAAAAAACCTGCCATTACATAGACTGAAAATACATAGCAGTGGAGTCAGTGAAAGTCATAAAACCAAGGTCTGCTAACCAACAAACAGGGACCCTCAGTTACTCCTCAAATTTCTGTCTTCTGCTTCCTACGTTCTTGGGATGCCTGGGTATGACAGACACGTCTTCCTTTCATTCACTCAAGAAAAAGCATTTAATGCTGAGGCCCTGGAGCTCAGGAGACACAGCCTTAGCCCTCCGTATACTTAACGGAGTGCAGTCAATATCTGAGTTCTACCCTTTGGCATCTCCACACCTGTTTGAGTGCTCCCTCGTTTGAAGCACCTGCATCTTTCTCTGGTCACTTACTGATATAACTGGAGTCTTATTCGTGGCTCTTTATCTTTAGGACTCACCTGGCGCTCAGATGTTCACCCATCTCCTCTACCACAAACTTCTGTTCTCACCCTGCTCTCACCACAGTACCGTCATCCCCACTGAGGAGTTTTCAAGCAGCACAGATGCCACTCATGCAAACGAACTCTCCTCCCAGAGAGAAATCGGTCAACCACCGCCGCCCTGTCCCTCTTCAGCCCCACAACTCTCATCTCCGGCCCCTCTCCCCGCCATAGTTCCCGAGAGCATCTGGACCAGAACGAGGGCACGTGCGCGCGCCGGGGGGGGGACGTGGGCGCGCCTGGAGGGGGACGTGCGCGCGCCGGGGCGCCTAGCCCAGCGCCTGCGCGGAGCCCGCATGGATCCGCAAGCGCCGGCCGCCAGGCCTTCAGGGGTTCTGACCGCCTCGGCTTCCGCTGCAGGCGGTCTCGCACCTTCTGGGTAAGTACGCGGGACTGGCGTAGCCGCTCCTCGGCGCTCATCGCCCGCAGACGCTGCTTCAGCTCGTTCCGCAGGCTCCGCTTGGCGCCGCTCACAGCTGCCGCCGCCATCTCACGCCCAAGCCGAGTCCGATCCCGCCCTCGGCGCCCTCGGGTTCGGTCCCCGCCCCTGGCCGCTCCCAGGTGGATACGCGGCCTAGGGGAGGGTCTGGTCTCTGGGCAGCGCCCCCCAGCCCGCCTCCGGGTCGCGGGCCGACTGCAGGTCGCGGGCCTACCTCGCCTCCGGCCCTTAGGACCCAGCCCTCGTACGGCCCCCGTGGTCCGGCCCGACCTCCCCGGCTAGCGGGATTCGTGGTGGCGCGCCGTGGCTGCCCTGCCGCCTGCCCTCCCTGGGCCCGGGCCCTCAGCGGGACCGCGGAGGTGGCAGCGCCGCCGGCGGGGATGGTGAAAGCATCTGGCAGTATCCCCGGTGCCTGGAATCTCTTGTACTGTGCAGTACTGGGGCCTCGGGCCAGAAAAGGACAAGGCAGGGCAAGGCAGTACGAGCAGCGACATTATCACGATTTCCTTCTTGTGCACACATTAGAGTAGTTACACAAAGCTACTACACACCTGTGCTACACACCTGATACAGTGTATTTTCTACTGAATACTGTAGGCAGTTGTAGCATCATGATACGTGTGTATCTAAACACAGAAAAGGTAATGTGTTGGTTGGCTACCACATCAGTAGGTATTAGGAATTTTTCAGCTCCATTATCATTTTAGGGGACCACAGTGGTTGATGGAAATGTCTCCTTATGTGATGAATGTATAGTAACAGAAACACATATGACCTACATCTGTAATTGTAATTTTTGGTAGCCACATTTTATAAAGAACAGCAGGAAAAATTAATTTTTAAGATATATTTAGACATAATTATTTCAATATGTAAATCAATATCAAATCACTAATGAGATTCTTTTCCATAACCTTCAAAATCCAATTAGTATTTAGCACTTATAGCTCATCTTAATTCAGACTAGCCACATTTCACTGCCATAGTGGACAGCAAGCACAGCTCTAGATAGAAAGCCTATTTTGTCTTCTCGTTCTTAATCGTCCAACATTGATTTCAATGTACTTATATTTGTAATATGAATTCTATTATATTGTAAAGTGCATTGTATTGAAAAATCATGAGAACAGTAAATCCAAATTAAAGCAATACCTTTGAAGCTATAAAAAGGTTGATGGTTTCTTTATAATCTATTCTCTTTTTAAACAGTTTTAAAAATACAGGATAACCCAATTAACTGGACATTTAATTTATAATCTATAATCATAGAATTCTCACTGAAAAGTACCTCTGAGATCATTTTGCCTAATGCCCTTTTAACAAATGAGGAAACTGAGGCACACACACAAAAAAAATCAGTTACCTAAGATTAGTCAACCCCTTGGTGCTTGGACCTGGACTAGAATGCAAACACCCTACTTCTTTCCACTCCATACATTTCAAAACAAGTGCCAAAATACTCGAAAACTGTTAAAACATATTTTTTTCAAATGTTCATCTAGCAAGTATTTGCATCTGCATATTACAAGGTTCCAGAACCTGGGGTTATATGCCTTCGAGTAGCTCAGAGCCTAGTGTGACTAATACTGAAACATAAACCAAACATAACTCTTTGGTAGTTGACAGACTTAAGAGCAATGTAGTGCCTTGGAATCATTTTATGGGCATCACTGGCAGAGCAGATGATACCACCAGCCAGGGGGATTTTCTTTGAAAGATAGCCTAAGAAAGCCATTTTCTGCATCCATGTTAAGTGTGGGTTGTGCTCTGAGACAGCTGTCATGACTTGACAGAGGAAGGAAACTGTCCCTCTCTTCTTCCTCTTTTTCTCCTGCCAGTACATACTCATAGATTACACTCTAGGGAGGTATCCACTTCATTGTGCTCCTTCCGAAAGCCCATGTTTTGCAAGTAAAATGAGGCCCTCTGAAATGATTTTTATTATTATGACAATAATCATTGTCTATTATCATTGAGCAGTTAACATGTCATTCTATACACATCAATGTCTAATGAAGACAGTGAACAAAGAAAATATTGATGAATTCCACCAGATGAAGATTTTTTTTTTTGAGATGCAGTCTCCCTCTGTCACCTAGCCCGGAGTGAGTGCAGTAGTATGATCTCAGCCCACTGCAACCTCCACCTCCTGGATTCAAGAGATTCTCCTCCCTCAGCCTCCCAAGTAGCTGGGACTATAGGTACGTGCCACCACACCCGGCTAATTTTTTGTACTTTTAGTAGAGACGGGGTTTCACGGTGTTAGCCAGTATGGTCTCGACCTCCTGACCTTGTGATCCACCTGCCTCTGCTTCCCAAAAGTACTGGGATTACAGGTGTGAGCCACTGTGCCTGGCCAAAAATTTTTTTTAACTATGAAAAACTAAAAAGAACAATAGTAAAATATTTACATATAGCATGGTTATATGTGTATTACATATATATTACATGTATATTACATGGTATATTACATATATGGCAGAAATCTTTACAGGCCACACCCACTGACAATAAAGCATAAAAAACTGGTCAAGAACAGCAATAGCAAAAAAGACATATGAACATATCTTTAAAATTAAAAATATACTTTAAATAAACATATCTTAAATATACATATTTTTCCACCTAGACATTTTAAATTTGGAATCAGGAGAACGAATCAATATTTCTTCAACCACACCCTGTGTAGAGCTGAAGGAGAGAACACACATAAGAACACCCACTTCTGTCAAAGCAATCCCTTTCTCCCTGGAGCCTTTACAGTTCTCCCAGCGCCACTGCAGAGGAGCCCTGCACGAGGCGTGAACACCTTCAGCATCGCAGAGGGACCCTCAGCACTGGCAATAGCACAGCAGTGTCAGAAAGCATGAGGCCACGGACCCAGGCCAGCCTCAACTGTCTCCCTGAAATCCACCCAACCACCACTTTGCTGCTTCATCAGCTGTCGCCACTTAACCTCAAAGTTGTGATATTTTGGAACCACAGGCTTGTTAAGTTGTTAAGAGTTGTTAAACTTGTTGAGAAACGTCGGAGAAAAAAAACTTCACTCATTATGCTGCAAAAAGAAATGAGGGAACATCCTGTTGTGATCAGCGTTGTATCTTGATCCGCTCTGTTAGCTGTCTCCAGAAGAAGCTGCGCAGTCGTGACAGCCGCGAGGCACACTCCACACACACACCTGGGCTTGCTCCTAGGGAAAACCTGCTCCACACACCTCCCCCACTGCCGAGTGCCACGCACACCCTGGGAACCCACCACCATAGTATTGTTCTACACACTACAGACACAATTGCAAAATAAAAACCTCAGCTGTCTGGGTGCGATGGCTCATGCCTGCAATCTCAGTATTTTCAGGCTAAGGCAGGTGGATCACTTGAGCTCAGTTCAAGACCAGCTAGGCCACACAGTGAAAGTCTGTCTCTACTAAAAATACAAAAATTAGCCGGGTGTGATGACGTACGCCTATAGTCCCAGCTACTCAGGAGGCTGAATCTGGAGGATTTCTTGAACCAGAGAGATTAAGGCTGCAGTGAGCTGAGACTACACCACTGTATTCCAGTCTGGGCAACAGAGCAAGATTCTGTCTCAAAAAATATATGTAAAAATAAAAATTTCTGCAATCATTTAGTAATCGTA